GGAAATGAGAGAGGCACGAAGGTACTAGACTAAGAATGCATGTTGTGTTTTTGTAGTAAAAAATTCAATAGTTGTACCGTTTTTTAACGAAGCTGTTGATTATATAAAGAATCAAAATGCCACATATAGTCGAAGCAGAAGTCCCGGCACAAGCGAATACCAATAACACCATGTTTTTTGTAGTGTGTGTCGTAATAGGTGAACAGTAGGCATAGCGCTGCGAGAAGTCCTCCTCACTCATTGCCCAAGCACAAACTAGCACTGAGATGAGAACCTGGAATTTGTTAGAATCAAAAGACTTCGATTTTTTAGAAACATTGTTACAGCTGCGATAGTCAAGTGCAGTTTTAGTCATCATATTTAGTTTCAAACAAACTATGCTGGAAAAATAACAACTGCCAAGACAAGCGTAGTTTGTGACCCATTAAGTGACAGGCATACTTCGGTCAGTTCCTCCCCAGGCATGAGGAGATGGTATTATAAATATGTACAAAGAAAAAATATGCAGTGCCAGCTCTGTAAGAATAATTTAATCCCGCAAACGCATACCATATTATCGATAACTTTTCTATTCTTTCTCTATTCTTGTTCTTCCTTTGCATGGGAGTATAAACGCATCTCGATGTAAATGGGGTTCCAGTGCGGGTGCATGGCTTGTCTCTATCTACTGGGATTTTTGTTTGATGATATCTTGAACTCATGCTGATGCCATTGTGATGGAAGCCTCAGGCAATAGAGACAAGCCTCATATGTAATATTGAATTGTTATATTTTCAAACGTTGCATATATGTTCGTATATAACGAAGTGCTTACCGATATAGTTGTAAGTGAGACCCCAATCTTGGGCCCAAATGAATCATATTGAGAACGTTTCCAAAGCGCAATAGCGCGCTCGATGATCATAGATAACTAAAGAACCATAATACATATATGTGCCATCCAATTTCATCCTAAGGTGAACACAACAAACACTTTTATTTGCCCTTACTTCTGAGTTAGCTCTTGGGTTTTTGTACTTTCGAAAAACATGGCTTCAATTATGTAATAAGCAACCCAAAGAAATTGTTCATATGCGGTGACAAATTCGCAACCCAATAATGATGCTACCAGTCAAAGGTAAGTGAAAATTAAATGCAAAATGCGATTTCAAGTCTTTTCATCTTTCCCACAGTAGAACACTCAGACCTAGATTCGGGAGTGTGAAGCCTTTAAGCCATGTTTTTAAGTGAAAAGGGATAAAGGGATCTCCCGACAAGTTCGGGAAAATAGCGATTAAATAGACAAATAATATTTATAAGCCTACAGGCCGTCGTTGTAGAATTTTTTGCCAGACTGGTTATGGAAGATTCCCTCTGTTGTGTAGTCCTTAAATTCACTGGGTAGCTTGTCACGGTGATTTGATGCTTTTCGTTCCTCCGTTGAATCGAGTTGCAAGGTTGCAGTTTCTTTCATTCGATTCCCAAAAAAAGAATGCTATTGAATACTATATGGGTCGCCTTCAATGCGGCCCCGTTCTCAGCCTCGGTTTCTTATGAATGAGCCAGCTCAGTAGAGATATGATATTTGTCCCTCATGAGCATAAACATCTATCCTGAGCTTTTACTCAAAGCCAAGAATTACATCAAAGGAAAATGGCAAATAGAAGTGGCAAGTGAGAGGAAATTCAGTATTGGATCAAACGAACCTCTAGTAGAATAATAGAAGTTGT